AAAGGCCTCCGCCGGACTGTGCCTACATACCAGGTCAAACAGATCATGTGCACGTAAACCTTAAATTTGAAAGATATTGCAGTTATGAAACACTCATCCTTGGAAAACATTAAGGAAGAGACTTGCAGACACCAACGCTTCAGGCCTCGGGCGTAATCTGCAGTTTCTCACCTCTATTTGCATACCGCCTCCACAAAGTTGTTGAGCCACTAGATAAATTCAGCTATTTTCTTTAACTGGTTAACTGGTTATATACATGAAAGACGTAGCCTACCATATAATTCTGTCAACACTCCTATGTGGGAAAATTTCATGGAAACATGTCAATTTGGAAACATGGAAACATGTCAATAACATTTTACCCCAATATAATTTTTTATTAAGCAACAATAAATTAAACATTGCAATAAAGCATAAATACTCATTTACTTTGTTCTAAATAAGCAGTCTAAATAGTTAAATAGTGTTCTAAATAGTTTGTTATAAATTAGATTTTTTTTTTTTTACATATATTAGGGAAATAATGTCAATGCAAAGGTTGTAAAAACAGCCTTTTATGCAAAATGCGCTTGACTATAGTAAAAAAATTAATGATCTTTTTTTAAGGACCTTTTGTACATTTATTAAATAATAATAAATTAAACACTGCATTGATGCATAAATACTTATTTATTTGGTAAATAATAACTTTATAAGCTATATTTTAAAATTATATTATGGAAATAATGTCAAAGCAAAGGTTTTGGCTAATTAATGAAAAAATAGCCTTAATTTTTATGTAAAATTAACATAAGTATACTTTGATATAAATCTAATTAAAAATATAAATATATTAAGAAAATAATGCAAATGCAATGGTGGGTGTGTTCTCAATGGGCTTTGAAAGGTTCAAACATTTATGGATAATTTGTAGTCATTTTTAAAAAAGCATTTGTAAAGAAATTAGGCGCAAAAAAGAAGACGATCACAACATGATGCAAGACTGATTCAAACACGACACATGCGCAGAGCACATGGCTCTGACAAAGTAACTTTTGGTTTGAAACATCAATCCGCACAACATGTGAGCGGAAAACAGACATCAGAAGCCCATGCCAGGTTTCTTAACTATGAGATTGAGCAGCGCAGAATGTGAGTTGACTGGGTGCTAAAGTTAGCATTCGTGCACTTGCCTGCACGTGATATTTATAACCCTAGCCGTACTGCTACAACAGTCACTGGAACCTCCCTGGACAAACACAGCAGTGCACTGAAAGTGAGGTCACTACCTGTTGCAGCACAGATGAGGTGAAACAGTCCCGACTGGGGACTGCTCCCAATCGAATCCCTGTGCTACCTTCAGTATGAGTCCCATGCTTTTAATCTTCAACATAACATTAAGATCTGCAATTAATATGAAAATGAGCAGTCAATGCACCATTTTGCATGAACAATAAAACCTAATTGTAGCTCAGTCAAAACATTGCCGTGCGTGTGACATTATGGTTATGCTGGGAGAGCCCAGGGTGACCAAAACACTGCCTGAACCAACTTTTGCTGTCATATTGCAGTCTAAATAAACGTATACGACTTAAAAACCACATGACTCCAAACCCCTATATCTCTAAAGTCAAGCTGAGGATTGTAATCTGCCTTTCAATTCAAGTCTAGAGTTACATAAATAAAAGGGAATTGTTCAATTAAAAGGCCTGCAGTGCACAAACACTCTTGTGCATTTAAACAGGGGAACGCAATAAAAGTGTAATCAATCATTCTGTACTAGTGAAATCGAGCAACACCTAGCCAAGCAGCTTGTTAAATCCTCAGGTTTCTCTATAACATGTAGGGGTGTAAATGGGACATCCACAACAGCTAAAAAATACACTTCAATTTACCAGGTGAACACATGAAAAATAAATAAATAAATAGATAATATTGTATCAGTTGCATCATCAAGTTACAGGTGAATTTGCTGCAAAAGAGACTGAATCGACGCAAAAGATTTGACGCAGCAACAAACTACAGAAAGCATCTTCTCTTCTACTTGAAAAGTTAGATATTTTTATAAGCCATACAACAAACTACATACAATTATACTGTTAGTTACAACTGATTCCCCTTCATTTTTTGAAAACACGCAAATGTAATTTCTTGATGCAATCGTCAAACCAAGCACAACTGCAAGACCTAATAGAAGATGTACATAATTTACATACAAAATGCCTCCAGCACAGCTAAACCTGTGCATCTTTAATAGTGAGATCAGCATGTTTAAAAACAAACACCATTCGCTATGAACTCACTGCCTGCTGGTCACATGCTAAAACTCTCGGTTCCCTGATGAGGTGAAACAGTCCCGACTGGGGACTGCTCCCAATCGAATCCCTGTGCTACCTTCAGTATGAGTCCCATGCTTTTAATCTTCAACATAACATTAAGATCTGCAATTAATATGAAAATGAGCAGTCAATGCACCATTTTGCATGAACAATAAAACCTAATTGTAGCTCAGTCAAAACATTGCCGTGCGTGTGACATTATGGTTATGCTGGGAGAGCCCAGGGTGACCAAAACACTGCCTGAACCAACTTTTGCTGTCATATTGCAGTCTAAATAAACGTATACGACTTAAAAACCACATGACTCCAAACCCCTATATCTCTAAAGTCAAGCTGAGGATTGTAATCTGCCTTTCAATTCAAGTCTAGAGTTACATAAATAAAAGGGAATTGTTCAATTAAAAGGCCTGCAGTGCACAAACACTCTTGTGCATTTAAACAGGGGAACGCAATAAAAGTGTAATCAATCATTCTGTACTAGTGAAATCGAGCAACACCTAGCCAAGCAGCTTGTTAAATCCTCAGGTTTCTCTATAACATGTAGGGGTGTAAATGGGACATCCACAACAGCTAAAAAATACACTTCAATTTACCAGGTGAACACATGAAAAATAAATAAATAAATAGATAATATTGTATCAGTTGCATCATCAAGTTACAGGTGAATTTGCTGCAAAAGAGACTGAATCGACGCAAAAGATTTGACGCAGCAACAAACTACAGAAAGCATCTTCTCTTCTACTTGAAAAGTTAGATATTTTTATAAGCCATACAACAAACTACATACAATTATACTGTTAGTTACAACTGATTCCCCTTCATTTTTTGAAAACACGCAAATGTAATTTCTTGATGCAATCGTCAAACCAAGCACAACTGCAAGACCTAATAGAAGATGTACATAATTTACATACAAAATGCCTCCAGCACAGCTAAACCTGTGCATCTTTAATAGTGAGATCAGCATGTTTAAAAACAAACACCATTCGCTATGAACTCACTGCCTGCTGGTCACATTCTAAAACTCTCGGTTCCCTCACATGTCCACATACATAAACACACACAGCAGACCCAATAGAGAAAGGAGACTCTCCAGTCATGGTTAGGTCTCAAGAGCTGCATCCAAATTCTTTCCTCCCCGTCTGAACACCGGCCCCAAAAAAGGCAAGTGCTTTTAAACGCATGAGCCTGTACAGACAACCTCCTGCAGTCACTTACAGCCACATCAAACCCATCAGACTCATTGCAGGGCCTTAGATATTATGCTTTACAATGTAAATTTGACACTTTTTCCTGCTGAAATGCATGATATGTATAGAGTAGACTTTTTAGAGACCTAAAAACAGTGTTGTGACATCCTGAACCTCTAGTTGAATTACAAAAAGTTACTTTAATGCACTTTGACTTTGAATTACTCAATAAGCCTTAACATCTAATTAAACATGTTGATTGTGTCTATGATGCCCAACAATGTTAAGTAGAAATCTTACTAAATTTTAAGACAATATACAGACACTAACAGGTATGACCAAGCACAAAAAGTATTTTATTATTATCATTGTTTTCCTAGATTCCTAGACAAATTCAATTAGTAATCGACAGGAAGTGCCACTTCTATCTTTGCCACATACTTTTTTTGTTGTTGTTGCAAAGCCAAGGAAACTACGTCTTAAAGCGACAGTACACTAAAAAATAATGGAAAATTGGGTCACGATTTGTTTAAATTCATTATGTTTCGAGACGTTCTGACTTACTTTCTCGTGTGGATCGTCAGTGTAGATGTCAAGAACAATTTTAAGAACTGACAGCACAAGTCGCCATTCAATTTCATTGTATGAAAAAGATGCACTGAAAGCGAATAGTGACCGGAGCTGTCATTCTGCCAAATATCATCTTTGAAGCTTCACACAAGTAAATAAGTCACAAGGGTTTGTCACAACATGAAAGAGTATATTATGACAGCGTTTTCGTTTTTTTAATGAATTATTCGTTATAAACTGCGCGACTTTGACCGTTTATTGCGCTCGCTCATCGTCACGTTTTATATTATTCACCTTGCCACACAGAACTCGTATTATACGGAGTCTTTCCCCATGAATGCCACATTTTCAGTCAATAATCTCCAAAGCAACATACGTGTCAACTGGGAAGCCTCTTTCCAAATAGACAGCCGTGCTAACTGGTTGCTATGCACTTTCGCAATGGTGTCCAGCGGATCAAGACACATTTACGAGTCGGTTCCGTGAATCTATATATGACAAAACCCATGCACATTCACCCGACCCGTTTATAAACAGATTCAACTGTTATTGTGCTGTATCTACTTGCTCTTATCTATGAGCTGAACGGCTAACAGGCTAACCAGCAGCTAACACACACACACACACACCCGAGAATCAGTCAGACAGTCCTCTTCCTGCCTTCACAAACTTGTTTACACACAAATACGATTATTCCGGAATCATCGATCTAGTAGAGTGCGCATAAAAAGCAAATATCCGTTTCAATCAGAGCCCGATTAGAGCCAGCGGCTACGTGGTTCCGCAAAACGGCCCGACGAAGATGGTGATGATGGTGGTGCTGGTAAAGTGGTGTCGGGCTGAGTAAACACAGCCAGCCAGCAAAGCGTCCGCATACACGGCTCCGTGCACAACAGCCGCCGCTGAGCCGCTCTTAACTTACCTGGTGCAGAGCGGTGAGTCCGTCTACATTGGCGTAGTTGATGTCCGCGCCGCGGTCGAGCATTCGCAGCACCTCCTCCGTATCGCCGCTCGAGCAGGCGGCCAGAAACACGGCGCCATCGTCGAACTTCACCTTCGTTTTCTTCTTCTTCAGGACGGGCGGCTCGAGATCCGTCTCCGAGCCTATCCAGCGCTTTAACTGTTCGTTCCTTTTCTGCTTGGCGTCCGCCATCTTCATCCCCTCTAGCCTGGCGCTTCTTATCTGTCTCGGATGGAAGATATACTTTATACTGCCACCATCCCAACACAGCTCGCTGGGGTGTGGGAGGGGACGGCACAGTCTCAAAACCTGGTTTACGCCGAAATATCGCGAGAGCGAGCGACGTCAGCCCCGGATCTGCAGCATAACGTCATCTTTATGGGGCAGAGTAGAGAACAAATGCACAGCAGTTGTCTACATACAAAGGTGTTTAGGGTTGCCATAGAACACGGGACCGTAAAAGCTTATGAAATTAAATACCAAACACAAACAAATACATACAATAACAGTAAATAATAAAATATGTGTTTTAATATAGCTGAGCTATATTAGAATATCAAAAAAGGGATTTGTATATGCACAAAATATGTTAGTTCATCAACTCACACCTTTAAAAACGCCTTTACGACTGAAATGGAAACCCCTGCAGTTGATAAAAGTGGGCTCTTTCATTCATTTTAGCTGTGATTTATGTAATATTTTAATAGACTCATATAGGACATTAGAGCAGAAATATTACATAGCAATGGCAAATATGCCCACCATGTGTTAATTTACTGCTTGTTAATAATGTTTACATGTGCAGACAAACACAACATGTTCCTCACTGCTTATTCAGAAGGACCAATTACATCCTGATTTTTGACCTTACAAAAATAAAAATGTACTGTGGTACCATAGTATAGTGATGGCATTAGATAGTAATACAGTGGCACTATGGAGTACTATGTATACTTTTAATGTACTATTGTATTTTTATGTTACTCCAAAGTACTTAAAAGAATACAATGAAATGTTAATGGTACATGTCCAAAATACTATGCCACTGCCGTGTGTGTCCATGGTAATAATCAAGCAATAGTTTAACAAAAGATTATAAATAATCAGTGAAAAAAAAAATATATATATATACATACATATATCTGACACTTCTATTTTGTTCCATGTGCTTGAATCAGGTTTTTCTATGGCATTTTATGGTTTTATTGTCCGTGTTTATTTAATCATATTTTATTTAAATCTGTTTCTAAAACACTTCGAGCTGCATGTTACGTACCAAAGAAAATATAATACAAACTGAATTATTATTACTAGTACATTCAAAACAAATAATGAGTATGATCTATCAATTATTTGGATATTTTAATTTTTTTATACTTCTTGAGCATATGTTCAAAAAGTAAAAAAGATGACATTCATATTAAATATTCATACTGGTGTATTGTGAAGATACAGATTGCTTAAGCAATATCAAAAGTGCTGACTATTGTAATTGTAATGTGCCAACAGACTCAAATTATCATCCTTTTTACTTCCTTTTACGGATTGTTTTTAATTGATATATATATATACAGTATCTGTCAAAAGATTAATCGCGATTAATCGCATCCAAACTAAAAGTTTTTGTTTACATAATATATGGGTGTGTACTGTGTATATTTATTCCGTATATATAAATAGACAAACATGCATGTATATATTTAAGAAAAATATGTTACGTTTATATATTAAATATATTTATATATAATATAAATTATATGAATATAAATATATACATGTAAATGCATGTAAATATTTTCTAAATATATACTGTATGTGTGTGCATTTATTTCTACAT